TGCTATCAGAGTGAGGCTGTCTGTATATGATGCCAGACTCTTCATGCTGTTGGTTGCATTGGGGAAGCACACATCAACTGAGTCGTTGTTCTGCTGGGAACACAGCAGCTGGGGAGTGAAGTTTGCTACCAGTGGAGTGGAAAGATGTAATGTCATTTAGTGCAGTCACCCAGACATGTTCCCAGTAGGCTGCCCTTTGTACAGACTTAAAGTTAGAACCACGGATGCTCATGAAGCTATTCTATAAAATAATACTCACTTGCAGGAAATGAGGTGAGTAGTTTCTGTTCTCCTTGCTGTGAGAAAATAACTGACAAAAGCAACCAAAGGCAGGGAAATGGGACCGTCTGCTGTGGTGGAGAAGACAAGGTCGCAGAAGCAGGAAGCAACTGGTCACAGTGCACAGGCAGGCAGGGAGCAGACAGAGATGGACACTCGTGATCAGTGTGCTTTCTTCTTTTTACTGGCTTCAGGAGCCTCACCGGTGATGTGTTTTCTTGCAGTCAGGGTGGGTTTTTTCACCTCAATTCAATCTAGAAACTTCCTCACAGACATGCCCAGAGTTTTGTCTCCCAGGTGCTTCTAGATCCTGTCAATTTGATATCAGTGTTAACCATCATAAGCCAACCCCTTGCCAAGCAGTGGTGGCACACGCCTTTAATCCCAGCACTCAGGAGGCAGAGGCAGGTGGATCTCTGAGTTTGATGCCAACCTGGTCTACAGAGTGAGTTCCAGGATAGCCAGGATTACACAGGATTATTTGAGAACCCCTGTCTCAAATAAACAAAACAAAGCAAAAACAGACTAAATGAATTAAGTCCACCCCTTATCAACTTGAAATCCAAGCATATTGCTTTCAAGTCATAATACTTTTCCATACCTTACTCCCTGGGCTCATGGCCATCTCATACTGCAAATTCATTCAGTTCAAATTTAAGAGTCCCCATCATCTTTAACCATGCCAATAATATAAAAAAAGTGCAAGTGTAACCACTTCTGAGACTCAAGTAATCTCTTAACTGTGAGCCCCTACAACATCAAAATCAAATTACAGGGATCAGAGAGGTGGCCCAGTGAGTAAAATTGCCTACTTCCAAGCCTGATGACCAAAGTTCAATCCCTGGAACCCACATCATGAAAGGAGAGAATGGACTCCTACAAGTTATCCTCTGACCTCTGCATACATGCTGTGGCATGTGTGTGCCCATACACATATACCCATACACATGTACCTACATGTTTGAACACAAAATTAAAATGTTTAAATCAAATAAAAATTTTCTTTTAATTACTTGTCTCTGAGATGCAATGGGACAGAGCATGTAGTACCATTCCGAACTGTAGAAATATAGGCATAGGAAAGAAAGGTCAGACTCTGCATGACAGAAACCCAGCAGGGCAAACATGGAGTCCCAAAGTTCCATGTCAGGAATCTGGGGCTTGTGATGAAATCATTTGTCATCTAAAAATGCTTGGGTGGCCCCACCCTTCCTGCTCTGCCACCTGCAGCACACACGGACCCTCTCTGGGACATGCTCCATTCTCTGCATGTCCAGCATACATGGCTCTCATTGCAGCTTAAGCTTCATCTTCACACCTTTGCCCAATGGCCTCCCTGGGGGATATCTCACCCTGATACACTTTGCTTGACCTCAACAGCCATTTGAAGACCTTGTCAACCTCCAACCCTCACCCCATTCTCAACACGTGGGCATCCCTCTTTTCTGGTCTGAGCTTGCACACTGATGCCAGCTGCTGGTTCATTGTCTTCTATACCCTGGCATCTTCTTTATCAAATTCTTGGATGTTGCACTGACTCAGAGTTTGATACCCCTACTCTTTCTGTTTATTCTGTCTTCCTTCCCACACTCACTTTGGCCAATGTTTACTAAGTATTTAGTATGTGCTGTACTTTGCTTTAGGCATCTGAGACAGAGCAACGAATATGTAAACTAAATTCCTGCAATTATAAAGCATACATTGTCATGAAAAAGGAAAATGTGCAAACAACAGCACAGAAACCATGTATTATAACATCAGGTAGTAACGGTGCCACAGAGAAGGGGGGAGGGAGGGAAAAATAAAGAAGTGTTAGTGTGTGAGGACATTGGTGCCAGCTAGAACTTTGTGAAGAGGTCAACATTTTCATCAAAGTAAAGCAAAACATGATGCAGAGGGGTCAAGGACAACTTCACTTGACTTGAGTGACAGAAAGAATGGTAGTGGGCTTGAGAGATGTCTCAATAAGTAAAATGCTCACCTGTTTATGTAAGCCTGAGTGCCTGAGTTGGGACCACCAGAATGAACCCACATACAGCTGTATATGGTAGCACAGGTCTGTAACCCCAGTGCTTCTGTGTTAAGATGGGACACAGAGCTAGGTGAATCCCTGGAAGCTTGCAGGTCACCTGACCCAGTGTGTGCATAGGCAAAGAACCTATCTCAAATAAGGTGGGAAGTGATGACTGACACCTAAGGCTCACATGACAAGTGCACACCTGTACTCACACATACAAACATACTTGCTTTTATGCACACAGGAACACACAGATTTAAAAAGAAGAAGAAAAGGTGATTATTCCATTTATCAAGATGGAAGACTAGGAGAGATGATTTTGGGTGTGAACCAAGACTTCTGACTTGGAGCTATGAATACAATCTGCTAAAGGAATATAAAGTCAAAGAAAGGGGCAATTTAGCTAGGCTGAATTTAATACCTCCTGAGATTTATTCCCTTTTCAAGCCTCAGGAAAATCTTCCTGGCTATTTTGCCTCTGAAAGCATTTGCTGTTTTCCAGACCTGATGGCCTCTGTCACCCTCCTTAGTTTGTTTTTATGATAGCTACTGTAATCTGCAGTAATAAAACTTGCTTTCAGTTGCTTTTTCCTTTTCCTCCTAATCCTCTTCTTCACTACCCACTTGTCTATCTTGCTCATAGCTGTACCCTCTGTGCTTAGTATGACACCTATTTATTGCAGAGAAGGGGTTTAAAGACTGTAGGTGAGACCACACAGGGTAGGCCAGTTGTCTGGAGCAGTTGGGGCACCTTGGTTCGTTGTCTAAGGTCAGCTTTGTGTGCTAGCTACATGGCTTTGTGAAAATATCTCTGTGATGAGTTCTCAATTTTAAGTGATACGGTTTTTAAGGATTGATTTGTCTGCTTTGAAACTATACTCATTTCAGGATTTAGGTTGGTACCCCGGACTTCATTTTGCTAACAATGGGAAGAGGCTTTCTGATACAGAATGAGTGTAAATTATTATGACTTCTACTTTTACTGCTTGTGAATAAAGTGACCAAGGGAAACCTAAGGCATTCTACATTCATGCTGCTGGGTCACTTGAGTCTTCAGTCTTGGTTGTCCATCAGCTCAGCTACATTCCAGAACCACAGAGAAACTGGAAAGGAAGCAAAGGAGTCTGCCTTCTGGACTGTGACAGAGCAACTGTTCAACCACACAGCTGCATCCTGTCCTGCTAAGGTATCAGAAGTTACTGTATTCAAAATTTGGCTGGGGTCCAAGCATCTCTTAACAAAGTCCCCAGCGACAGATATTTCACTGATGAAAGAAAGACCCACTTGGACCAGCAGCAATGGGCAGAAAGAACACAAAAGACTAGACTTCGTCTGTTTGCATGTCTACCTAACATTTTACTATACTTTGGGGAACCAAGGGCAAACTTTGAATGTAAGCAGTTTCTGGTGAGCTCCAGTCTGTTTGAAGAATCAACAGATGAAAACAAACCACATTATGAAACTTTTATTAGGCAGGGGAGATGGCTCAGTGGTTAAGAACATTGCCACTCTGACCCAAGACCTAAGTTCCATTCCCAGCATCCAACTCAGATGGCTCACAACCTTCTGTAACCCCAGCTCTAAGGCACCAACTCTTTCAGCCTGACTGGTACCTGCACTCACATGCACATGTCCACAGATACATGCACCTTTATATAATTTTTTAAAAAGTAGAAAAAGTAAACTTTAAAAAAAAGGCTCTTAGAACCCACAGTTCAAGAAATTGACAACTGATTTGAACTCATCCAGGAAGCAAAACTCAGCACTGTGCAACTTAAACTCACTGCTGGATGGGAACATGGCTACAAATACACCTTGTTTGCCGAGGGCCAGAAGGATTCCTCAAGGAAGAAATAAAAAGAATGCCCATCCCCACCATCACCTCCAGTTTCTATTTCCATCCCTTGCCTCTGTTACTACAGTGTAAAAATAATTCTCTTCCAAAAAGGTCCTGTTTCTTCTCAGACAGCATTCTCTCCTCATCAATGCATGCCCGTAGTAGAAGAGTGTCTCTCCTAGATTACATGTGCATACAACTGAGAGTATAAACACCACTGCCTAACTATGTAAAACAATGGATCTTAATGTCTGGAATGATTTAGAAAGAAGAATCAATCGCGGGAGCACAATTTCCCGCAGAGGCTGAGTTATAACCTCTGGTGTTCTTCAGCTCGTCCACCTCGCTCTCTGGGACAGGGTCTCCCACTGATCTGGAGATCACCAAGGAGGCTAGATTGACACGTCTGCAAACCTCAGGGAACTCTCTGCCTGTCTCCGCCTCTCCTGCACTGCATTACTGATTGCATACCCACAGGCCCAGCTTTTTCAAAGATGGGTTCCGGAACAGAATTCAGGACTTAGTGCCTGCATGGCAAGCACTTTACCAAACGAATGAATGAATGCTTTTTTTTTTTTTTTTTTTTTTTTTTTAAGCCAGGCAAACCGCTCAGTGTTCACATAAAGCAGGGGGACAGGAAAAGCAAGCATATGACTGTGCTTGAGTTTTCACTCTTCCACTCCAGAGCCAGGAGAATTTTTTTTTTTTTTTTTTTTTTTTTTTTTTTTTTACTACTACAGTGGTCTGAAAGAGGATTAGGTGTTGTGAATAGACCTAAGAAAGCCATTAATTTTTCTTTTGCTATCAAAACGTGACGAGAAAAGTGGAAGCCAAGGAATCAAAACATCAACACCGCAAGGTCACAAATAGAAAAAATAAATAACTTTATTTGTACAAAAGGGAAAGTGTACCAGAGCCAAGAGGCTATGTGTGTCCCAGGGCCAAACCATTGTCCGCGTCGCGTCCAAGAGGCTCTGGAAGTCCGAGGGCCAAGAGTGTGTGCATCTTCAATGTTGATCAGCCCACGGAATCCGGGCTCAGAGGAGCAGCAGTGAACCCAGCAGCAGCTCACCCTGGCCCAGCGGCCGGCCACGCTCCAGCCCGCGGCCCTTGCTCTCTGCCTTGATGCGCACGGACAGACGGCGCAGCTGCTCCTCCGACAGTCCGTCGAAGCAGCAGTCCTGGTCCAGGGTGGCCTTGCGGCTGCGACGGAAAACGCTGGCATGCTGCTGACCAGAGTGCCGCAACACCAGACTGAGGCGACAGCCCAGGGCGCGGGGTTCGAGTGTGGCGGCCGGGCCCTCTGCACGCAGCAGGCGGAGACGGAGACTGGCACTGCGCGGACAGTACTCGGCGGCCAGGCGCAGCGTGCAGTCCCCGCGACTCAGAGCCACGCTGGCCTCTGCTTGCAGGAGCTCGGGGAGTGTGCTCGCAGGGGCTGGGGACGCGCAGGAGGTGGCGCACTCGTGCTTGTCGCCACTGGGTGCGGGGCGCGCGCTGGCCCTACCGCGAGGGGCCCGCAGTGCTCGGCTCAGCAACCCATCAGGGGAGCGCAGCAGGCAGCGCACGCGGGGCACAGGGGCGGGTGGCGGAGCAGAGTCCAGATCGATCGGAGCAGCGAGTGCAGAGTCCGAGGCTCGGCGCGGGCCCGCGTAGGTGTGCGCGCGGCGGCGAAGTACGGGCCGGGGGACGCCTGGGTGACCGAGGAAGAGCGACTCCTTTCGGCGCGTGTGCGGGCTCTCGAGCAGCGCGCAGAAGCCATAGGCGGTGCGCACGCGGGGCAGGTGCGGCAGCGAGAGCGCGGCCTGTGAGCGCGGGTCCCAGTCGGTACGACCCGCGTGTTCAAAGTCATTATCATCGTGGTCGGTAGATGTGCGCGGCCATAGGTCGGGTTCGGCCGCACAGCGCCAAGGCAGTGTGGCAGCCGGGAGCGGCGTCTCGGGAACGCCGGGGACAGGCAGCCGCGGGGGTATGCAGAACTCTGGGATGCGGCCCGGGGTGAGCACGTTGGAGAAGGCGGGCTCAGGAGCGGAGGAGCGAAGTCGACCGAGGAGGCGCATCCTTCTACACTGGGGTTGCGCGGAGCAGATAGAAGCGTGCCTGCAACACAGAGAAAAACAGTTGAATTGGGGCGCCTGTAGTCCAGTGGTTCCCTCCCTAGGGCCTCTGAAATCCTAAACAATCTAGTCCTAGATTCCACACGTCTAGGGCTCTCGGTCAGCACGAGCCTTTGGTGCATCCTCATGCCCATCCTGCCTACCAATTATCAAAGCTAAATACATGTATATATAAGAAGTAAGACCTTTTCTTCTTCAGTCTCGCTGGGTCTGATTACAAGAGGACAACTGATGGTCTTCCTTCCACAGCTGGGGCACCACCTGCAGCTGGGACAGTGGCGCTCCTCTTTTATACCACAGCCGGAGTCCCGCCCAGCTGCCAAGAGCCCAATCCCAAGGGACGAGGAACAGCCCGCCTTGCAGCGACCTCTTCCTACCAAGTCCGGAGTCTCTGGCGCTGGGGACTACTTTGTCCCTGAGCTTGAGCGCCACATACAGTCCTGGGAAATGCTGCAGGTGACTAGAGGACATCCTGTCACCCTGCCAAAGAGAATTTGGCAGTTAAAGTGTTTGTGACCTCTCAGAGGAGGCGAGGACGGATGAGGAAACGGACAGCTGTATTTGGCGACAAAGTAAATCCGGTCACCCACTAGGCGCATGACCTAAACTCACGATCGGCTGGCTTCCATTTTTCTGCCGGCATTCATCACCTGTGCCAGTGGTGTACACCCGTTTCCAAGGACGGACTTAAACTCGGTGTGTCCGTTTAAGGTGGAGTTACATGTAGATAATTTTGCAAAGTCGAAAATGCATTAGTCAGCCTACCCTGAACATATTCAGACGAGTTGTATTCAACACTGGGTGGGCCAAAAGGTTGGATGGAGTAGTTCTGTATCCTCGTTTACTCAAAAATCTGTGAAGTCCCTGGGTCCACGCCTTGTTTAGCCTCTGCCTCCCTCTGCTGGCCTCTCCCTAATATCACATGGTCTGTTCTACCAGAGCCTTAGTCATTGGCAATTTGGGTGAATTAATAATATTCAAAATTTTCTGAATGACAGCAAGCTAGGGCAAAAAAAAAAAAAATTGGACTTCTGGTCAAATCCCTAAAATTACTTGATTTTCCAAAGCTACTATTTTCTTTCTTCCCTAATATGGACCCATGGGGGAGACAAAAAAAAAAAAAAAAAAAAAAACCTTACACAAAATCCAAGGACCCTCTTCACAAGGCCCAACCTTTATTTTCTGAAGTGTGAAAGATGAAATCTGAGGGGTTTGAGTAAATACCACAAAAGCTAAAAAGAGCTTGCTGACATGGATAGCTGCAGTGTGTAGTATAGTATTTCCTAGTCTGAAATGCCCTTTGTTCTTTTGTTTCCGGGGTGAGGGTTAATCGGGGATGGCACCCAGGACTCACACACAACAAACAAAGACTGACACCGAACCATATCCCCAGAACTGTTTTCTTGTTTTGAGAGATAGTCTTACTAAGTTGCCCAGGATGACCTTGAATTCATCTGTATCTTAGGCAGACAGGCTTTGAATTTGTAATCCATCTGCCGTGCCTTCTTGAATGCTGGAATACAGGCCTCTGATGCCAGACCTAGCTGACTTTATCTTTCGGTAGGCAGTATCCTATCAGGAACTGCCAGGGACTCAGCAAGCCTCGAGGTCTTTGGGGGAAACGATGCCTGCAAGGTGAAGAATGAAGCTGGAAACAGCACCACTTTTGCAGATGCTGGATAAACACTTCTGACCTCACCGTTTATTTTTTTTTGCACAGAAAACTTTGGGGAATGGTTTCCACATGACAGTGATCACAGTAAAGCTAGACATCGCTGCATAGAAACTCCCTACCGAAGTAGCAAAGCAGGTTACAGTAAGAAAGTTCTAAAGTTCTGCTGAGTGCTAAACAATGTTCAGGACAAGGGCTGAAGGAGGAAGGATTTGTAATAAGCTTAAGGATAGATTCTGTTGGTGGGTGCTGCAAAGTACATGGGACCTCTTTCATAAGAATGGGTTCTATTTGCTGAGAGACAAAGCTCAGGATTAGGGCTTAAACAATGTCCAGGATTTGGGAGGACCCAGGAAGCCTGACTCCTTAGAACAGCAAAAACAAAATTATCGTGGTTTAATAAGGATCTGGAAAAAACAGGCTGAATAGATGTTTATTCAGGGAGAAATAACTTAAAACAGAGACAGATGAATACCAACAGGTTCCTGGTCCCAAGGATGCCTCCGGATGCTCTTCGGTCTCTGTCCTGCAAGCAAGAGAGCGCTTGGGGATCCCTTCCCCAGATCTAGTTCCCCCAGCTCACATCTGCCCCTAACCCCACCCCCAATGGGCATGGTCAGTGCCACACGTGCAGACAAAGTGAATATCTCACTACATAAAATAAAATTAAACAAAAAGCAGCAGGTTGCCAGACTGAAAATGCACTCCAGCCTTCTGGGTGAAGGGGCATAAGTCATTTCTTTCCTTTGAAGAAATGTTGAGCTCCAATGCTTTCCCTAAGCTGTGCCTCCTACAAGGAACTTTGGCCCAATTATTTTTCTACAGTTCATCCTCACTCCCTCCAATCTCAGCCTATACACCACTGTGGTATTTTACATGATGCTTTGGAAATTTTGACTTGCAGTTTTTCTTGCCTAATAGACTAAGTTTCCTGCTACATATGACACAAAGATTCTTGAGATGCCCGTGGTAGTTTGGAAGAAAATGGCCCCAAAGGAAGAGGCACTTTTAGTAAATGTGGCTTTGTTGGGGTAGGTGTGGCCTTGTTGGAGGAAGTGTGTCACTGTGGGGGTAGGCTTTGAGGTCTCATTTATGCTCAAGCTAAGCACAGTGAGACTGACCACTTCCTGTTGCCTGTGGGTCTAGATGTAAGGACTCTCAGCTCCTGGTCCAGCACCAGGTCTGCCTGTGTGTCTACATGCTACATCATGATGCTAATTAACTAAACCTCTGAAAATGTTAAGCCAGTTCAATTAAATGTTTCTCCTTTATAAGTGTTGCCATGGTCATGGTGCCTCTTCACAGGTGCTAGTACCAGGGGCTGGGGTATTGTGATAGACCATGTGACCATGCTTTTGTCTGGAAAAATTTGGATTTTGAGTTTGAGTTAGGAAAGCAGTGGAATGCTTTAAAGGTGCTTAATGGGTCATACCAGTAGGAGCATGGAAGACAGTGGTGTGAAGAGTGATTTGAACTTGGGGGGGGGGGAGGGTTGGCTCAAGAAGTTTCAGAGGTGAAGAATTTTAGTATGTTGTCTAAAGGTCTTTTGTTGGGGACCATCACCATCCTCACAACCTCAGGTATCTGAGATAGAAAATTTCAGCCTCCTAAGAAATAAACAGGATGATCAGCAGAGCATTCCAAGGTATAGGCTTGCAGTTTCACAGCCAGCTGAAGAATAAATAGCTCAGGGCTATCTATCTCTCCTGCCACAATTTACAGCCAATTACAGCATAGCCAAACAACTTAGGGCATTCCTTCTACTGACCTTCTCACTCTGCCTACATGGGAGGACCCATACCCTGGCTATGTGCAACCCCCCCCCCACTCACATCCAGCCCATGGTCCTATATAAACTTCCCGAGAAAATAAAATTTGTCAGCTTGATCAGAATATTGTCTTGCTGTCCATTCTTCGTATCCCTTGCCCCTCATTTTCTTCTAGGTGTTCCCCGGTTCATCATTGACTGCCCCGAGAATCGGGGCAGTCTTTCTTGTGATATTTTGGTAAATAAAGTAGCTGCTTTTTGCCATTATCCAAAAAGTGTGCCTGAGGGTAAAGCTAACAGTTTTGGATTAATTCCCTTAGCAGAAGAAATCTCAAAACACCCCAGTATAGACTCTGTTGTGTGGTTACTAGTGTTAACTTTAATGAAGATATATAATGCAAAGGAACAAGAAAATGTAAAATTTGAGGAGAAAAGGATCACCAGAAAGTGGAATGGAACTAAGTCCTGTGTTCAAGGAGATAAACAGATTAAGAAGTGGAATAAAGTGGTGATGTCAGGACAAGATCGCACCCAGCTAAGTTTCCAACTTGTGAAAAGGAATGAAAGAAAAGCTTAAAGTAGAGTGTGGTGGTGCACACCTTTAATCCCAGCACTCAGAAGGCAGAGGCTGGTGGTTCTTTGAGTTTGAGAACAGCCTGAACTCCAGAACAAGTTCCAGGACAGCCAATCTTAGGCAGTGAAGGTGACTATGGAAAACAGAAGGTTGGTGAAAATATAATTAATTGAACGAGGGGGCTGTTTTATGGCCCCAGTAAGCAGCAGAACTTGGCAGCTTCAGCCACGTGGTTCTGGAGTTTAGGATAGAAGGAAGAAGCTGAAGAATTTTCCTCCATGACTCAGGAAAGCCAATGAGGCCAGGCATGTGTAAGGAGTATCCTTGGACATAGGCCTAGAGAGGTCATTGTGTGATGCTGTGAAGTTGAAGCCTGGATTGCCTTGGAGACCCCAAGATGTTAGAGATGCCAAAGTCATGAGATACCTGCCAAGGAGATCTGATAATGGGGAGTGGTACCAGCTCAAGAGAGAGAAGTGTGTTGCAGTCAACAAAGCTTAAAGGAGTTGGAGATCTGAAGAGCGTTTTGACATCAGACATGGAGATGCAGAGTCTGGAGTTTGCCCAGCTGGTTTTGGTCTTGCTTTGGTCCCCTATGTTCCTTTCACTACATTTTGGAATGATAATGTATATCCTGTGCCGTTATATGTTGGGAGTATATGATCTGCTTTTTTTATTTTGACTTCACAGGGTATTACAATTAAGAGATTTATGAATCTACAGAGTGAGTGCCAGGACAGGCTCGAAAATAATAGAGAAACCCTGTCCAAAAAAAAAAAAAAAAAAAAAGAGAGAGAGATTTATGAATCTCATAAAAGACTTTGAACTTCAGACTTTTAAGTAAGTTGATAGCCCATGGGGACTTTTGAAATTGGACTGAATGCATTTTTGCATTATGACATTGCTACAAGCCTTTGGAGGCCAGGGACTGGAATGTGGTGGTTTGAAAGAAAATGACTCCCAAAGGGAAGGACACTTTTAGGAGATGTGGCTTTGTTGGGATAGATGTGGCCTCATTAGAGGAAGTGTGTCACTGTGGAGGTGAGCTTTAAGGTATCATATATGCCAAGCATTTCAGTCTGCTTCCTGTTGCCTTTTGATCAAGATGTAGCCAGGACCATGTCTGCCTGCATCCCACCATGTCCTGCCCTGATGATAATGGAGTAAACCTCTGAAAATGTAAGCTATCCAATCAAATGCTTTTACTTTATAAGAGTTGCTGTGGTCATGGTTTCTTTTCATAGCAATAGGAACCCTACCTAAGAAAACATGTGTCATGAATTATAGGAACCTGAGTGAATAGTTGGAGGACAGAAGGAAGAAATGAGAACAGGAATAACACA